CTCTCTCTCTCTCTCTCTCTCTGCAACTCGTCTATATATCTACGTCTTATATACTTTGTTTTAAGCGTAGGTATGAGCGGGTTGTCATTTTTTAAGACAAATAGATGATTAAGACTGGCGCCGCAAAAGTTACCGTATTTACCGATAACAAAACCTGCCATTGGCTACCACAATATTTAATTATGCTGAGCGGTGTCTGTGACTGTGTCACGTTAATGCAGAGGTTCTGAACCTGTGGTCAATGGACTATTTTGGGGTCGGTGGATGGGATTCAGAGGGTCCATGAAACAGGCGCATGCAAAACTCTGTGTATATATGCGTATGTGCATTGTTCTGGGCTCCGTAGCTTTCACCAGATTCTCAAAGAGAAAAATGGTTAAGAACCACTGCGTTAATGTCTAAGCTACGCTAATGTTTTAATCTCTAAGCGCGCGTGGGCACTCTAGCTATAGCTACTCATCGATTGCGCGCCCACACATGCAGTTCATGCATGCATCAACATAATATAACAAAACATAACATAACATAATATAACATGCGGTTGCTGTGTTCGCGCCATTCATGCCAGACAAAGAGACGCCCGGCACCGTTAGCCATCAACTGTGCGTCAATGTGATCGTTATTCGCCGCTTGTCATCTCCCGAGCCGACCAGCGTCTATGTGTCCACGCACATACAATACAGTTTCTGTAAAGTGGACTCTCACGCACATACATCACAACTTCTTATCACAAAATCACGCCCTAGACACGCATACATTCATCATATGATACAGTTTTGCAGAAGAGGAAACGTCCGGGGAATGAGTACGAATAAGTATTACGAATACGCATATACGCATTATTACGTATATAGCATATAAGCATATACGCGCTTACGCATACGAATAAGTAACGTATTAAAAATTCTATAACTAACGGCATCGTCACCATCGACGTCATCGCTGCCATTACGATCAGCGTTACGAGAACATCGTTACTCATTGTGTTCCATTTTCCTTTTCGTTAAAATTAACTAAAGCCGTTGCTCTCTCCGTTGTGATTTAGAAAGCATTCGCTTCCATTGCATGTGGCGATCCGTTACATCAAGAGCTAATAATACCTCTTTTAGCTTTTGGTTACATATGTCTATGAGCGTCTACACATCCTAGAATATAGTTCGCCTGTATGCGCAATGATTTCACGAAAATAACAAAGTGTGTTGCGGATTGGCTTGGAATCTCACACATGCTGAGCCAATCGTCCGATTAGCTACAGATAACCGCTAGGGTCGTACCAATGAGGAATTTCATAAGTTCCATTGAGTTGCCTCCATCAGCAGTGGCGAAGTCCGCAAGCAAAAAGCAGCCATTACCAGAGAATGGAACGGCGTCTGAAATTATAAATTATTTTTAACATAATATTAACTATTTATTACTAATATATACCGAACGGCCGCCATGTTGACGTGCGCTCAGATGCGGGCTCAGATGCGGGCGGATTGTTCAGCCCAAGGAGCTGTATTAAACAAGGAGAGACAGCGCGCATGTGCATACACCATATTTCATGATTTATATAATTTTGTTCCAGATTAGCGACTAGAAGAGAGGTCAGTGCAGCAGTTTTTGTGATTGGTCACTGTTCTTGTACTGAAATCTTTATGTTTTAAACATATTCTTACACATACTGCTGTAGTAAGCTGTATTACTTTGAAGCCCAACAACATGGTTATGAATTCTGTATTGCAACAGCCAGAGAACATTAATTAATACTGCTAGATTAGGAATAGATGTGCTGTGAGACAGAGAGCTGTAGCGACAAATCCATAGATTAAGTGTACGGCGAAACTGCCATTGGATGAATGCAGTCGTGGGCGTAGCTATGATTGACCAATAGGAGGATCCTTAGTGTTGATTCTTTACTATTGATTCTGTTCGTGTATTTAAGGAATTTTCCCATCGATTCTACTCTAGATGTAATTCTCCTCCTACCGATGGCGTCAAAACAAAGCTGCGAGGCTTGCTTGGTGATCTGACGACAACCGATCATGACTTCGCTGTAATATCCTGCTCCAGTAATTCCTTCACTCTGGTAGAAGAATTGAGGTGCGGTCATGTTGTCGCCGACTAGACACGGTGCTAACCTCCCGGACGTTTCCTCTTCTGCAAAACTGTATCATATGATGAATGTATGCGTGTCTAGGGCGTG